GGAACAAAAAAGGGGGCGAGGCAGCCGAAGAGATAGAGAGAGAGAGACAGAGAGAGAGAGAGAGAGAGAGAGAGGCGATGCTCGTCGTTCGATGTTCATTGTTCCCCTCGAGTGGGCTGTTTTCTTCGGGGGAAAATTAGGGGAATAACCGAGCTCGCGTAAAAATCTGCCTATTTTTCCGGGGCCCGACTGAAGGAACCTTTACCAGCGTTTCTTCCAGCTTTCTTCCTTCCTTCTACGTTTTTTCCTTTCCTTTCTTTTTCTTCTCTTCTTCTTCTTCTTCTTCTTCTTCTTCTTTTCTTTTTCATTAGCCAACCGAGCGTTATCGGGACGAAAGGAAAGCGTTATAACGTCGCCCGCCCGTTGGATGAATAGTTAATCAAGCTCGGAACCCGATTAAGCGCGGGGGCCGTCAACCGGCCAAATTAACAGAACATTTTCCTTGAAATTTTCAGATTCGTCGCCAAAGCCGAATTGTCGACTCCTCGCCCCGGAATAATTAATCAAGAGCGTTTCACTGCTTCGAATCGAGAGCGGAAGGGGATCGAACGGTCTCCTCAGATCTTGGAAAATTCTCAATAATTTACGCGAATTCTTAAATCTTTTCGAAACGGATGAATCGGTAATCTCGCCCGGTCGCGACTAATTCTTAAATTTTAAAAGCGTTAATCCAACCGACTAATAAAATTCCTCGATCCGTTGAATTTTGATAACGTTACTTGCCGGATAAAACGTGGATTAAAAAAGAAAATTTTCGCCTCCACCATTTCGATCCATCTCGAAAATTTCTAAACGGCTGGCAAAAGGGAAACCTCGCCATTCCTCACCGAATATGCAATGGCCCGTTTGGAGAGGGGATGCAGCCTACTAAAAAAAAGAAAAAAAAAGAAAGAGAAAGAAGAGCAAAGAGGAAATCTGACAACTGGAAGAAGGATTTTCCACTTCGGATCCACGTCACTCGCGTTAAGGGAGAGCGAGATGGGCAAAAATTTTCAAACGGTTCAAGAATAAAGTTACTTCGATAAGTTACTTGAATAATTTCGAAGCGTTAACCGTAACGCCGAGATTATATACGAATGAAACGTTTAATTATAAACTGCGAATAAATGTTACCTACGCTTTAAATAAAATTATTACTTAAAGTATTCTTGCTTCGTTTGAAATTTTAAACCAATTAATTTTTCCCACGACTTTGCACGCTCGCTGAAAATAATCATTATCCTCGCGACGATGGTCAAAAACTAATTATCGCCTACAAGATGTAAAAATAAATGGTAAGGATTAACACCGAGGATACGAATTAAACGCGGCACAAATTTTTAATCGATCCTTCGATGTCCAATATACCGAGCATCGAGTGACTCGGTCAAAACTTTATTCCGTCGACGGAAGAGAAACGACGCACGAAACGAGTTGACGCCAAGAATTACGAGACCCATCCAAGAAAGGAGCGCCGTTTCGGTTTCAACGGGACGGTTTCGCGTGAATTACTCGAGCTTATCGATTGGCCACTATCGGTTGGACCGATGGCTCGTTTGATTCGCTCGATAATTGCGCTCAAAGCTTTCCCTCGACCAAGATTCTCGTCGAAACGCGAGCGCGTCCCCGTTGTCATTCGCAGTGGAGGTGGTGGTGGTGGCTCGAGAAAGGGAGGGGAGGAGGGGCAAATAATTAGAAGTCGAGCGGGCCAATTAGGCGAGTCGCCGTGTTCGCTCGAGCGTCGAAAGGAGGAAACGAGAGAGAAAGTGAAAGGGTGGCGTGACGCAAGGGAACCCAATCGGCCGGAATAATTGGGTTAAATTGGGGGCTCGCGTTTCAAATCCTTTCAGCCCTTGCCCTTGATTTACGCCTGCTTTTCATTCCATCTCCTATCCCGCTCTGCGGTCGAAAGATCGGATAGAAATTTGAGAGAACCCCCTCCCCCACCGCCAAAGTCATATCTGTGGGTACGAGACTAAACGAGATCTATCCCGTTTTCCCATTTCCAACCAAAGATTCGATTCCACATCCGCCGACGGTGTACATTTATCCGCTTAAAAAAAATCCGAATTTTCCATCGATGATTGGGAAAAACATCCTTTCCTCCCCCCTCTCCGTCGAGGAGAAAAACGACGGAGGAACGATTTCAATTAGCGGTATATATATATATACGCGTTTGAACGAAAATACAAAGGCGAAAGGGAGGGAGAAGAGGGGGTTGTGGCGATTTACAACGCAAACGGCAACTCGCATAAATATTCAGGCCGGGGCTTCAACGGATTAAGATATATTCCCGACACGTATGCGGGTAACGACGCGTGCATGCAGCCGGTCGAGCGCCGGGGTGAAATAATATTTTTTTTTCGCTCCTTC